ATAAATAAATAAAGCAAATCCAAAATCTAACAATAATACAATAAATGGAATATGAAAATTTACTGCATTTATTCATTCTATAAGTTACATTTTTCTTGGAGGAATTTGTGTGTATATATATTGTGTGTAAGATAATATAATATAATATAATATAAAATGTTATAAAATTTTAATAATTCACATATGTATTATCATTTATTATTCTCAGAAGAGTAATACAATCAACTAATAAATGTTAATGTTTTTTGAGGAGAGTCGAAATCTGCCAAGTAATAAAACAAGAGTTTTATTTACAATTTACTTATTTACATTTTTTGTTGTTGTTGTTGTAAGAGACAATAAAAACAACTTTATGCATCAAAACTACTTCTTTCCTGGTTAATCATTGTAGTTTTTACGAGAATCCTAGAGAAAATTCCAGGGAGTTTACTCATCTCCTGGATTCTACACTATACTGGATGTTTTGACTACATCACCGAGAGAACACAGCGGCCTGAGCGGCTTCAACATGCTGTCTGTCAGAGGCCATAACATACCTAATACATAACGCACATGATAATATAGAGAATATGTTTTGATTCATTGACAGGCACATTTCACATTTATAGCTGAAAAATGACGATTTTCACGTACAGTAAGTCGTGCACGTACATGAGATCCGTGTGTGTGCGTGTCTGTCTGTGTAGGGCAGTAGCGCTCTTTAACTGTGCATTCTCATTCTGGTGTATACAAATGATGTGTACTGAACAAAGACATGAGGGCATTTGTCTGAACAGCTAGGTTCAGTGTCACAGTGCTACACCTCAGCCAAAGAAGACAAACAAACCAATGAGGGTCCGAGAGCCTGAGACGTGTTGAGCAGGAGGAGCCCGCTGGCTCTAATCAAAGCAGTGATTTCTAAATCCGCTTGATGAGGACACTCGTGAAGCCTGCATAAACCGACCCCGTGTGATTCAGATCTTCAGCTAGATAGACATGTCATGAATGTTGACACGCAGACAAAGAGTGTGGAGTAGGAAGACCCTGTGCAAACCTACCAGCATCCCAGGTGCAAAAATGAGCCATACACGAAACGCATTTAGGACGTGATGAGCAATTAAGATGCTATTAGCAATTTTCTGCCCTTTTGCAAAATTTCGCTAGACTTAGACAATAAATAAGATCATTCTCAGTGCTTCAACAACACAATTTGCTTGTGAAAAACAAAGCACATTTTTGCATAATTTCAAAAGGACCTCTTATTGCATAAATAATATCCTTCAAAAGAACTAAGTGTAATGTTTTCGATACTTAGCTGCATGTTACAATTTAAAAAAAAGTGTATTATAGTTTAAATTTACATTAAATGCAATTAGTTGAACTTAACAGTGCTTATTTGACCCACTTAAGTAGGGTTTCAGTATCTATGTAATTTCATAATTACTTCTATTGTCTTTGGAATATAAAGTTACTGCTCAATGTACTGACATGCATGTATGATAAACTAAAAAAATACTGCAATGCCATTTCTATTTAAAAAAGTATTTAAATACATTTGTAAATACACGTTTGTAATGAAGTTGAGATTTAACACATTTAAAATACATTAAATGTAATATCAAATACGGTTGAATTATAATCAGGTACTTTGCATGTGTCTTCGTTAGTCAACACAACAAGAACAGGCGTCCTTCTGTGCGGCACGACAAAAGATTATTAAAACAATGATTTAAAATGCATCTAAGTAAAACGTTTAATTTGACATTATTACAAAATCAACATTGTAAACGTGTAATTGTGTTAAGAATCGTAGTAATGAAAATGTCTCTCTTTAAGTGCACTTATATGGCCTTTTATTTCATTAATGTAATATTTTCTGAAATTACAGTATAGAATACAAATATACTTTTACAGGTGCGCATTCAATACAGAATATAGATATTTTATGCCTGTGCGCGGTCATGTGTTTTGGAGGAGGCGTGGCTTTGGAGAGTGATTTGCAGTGAGGGTGGGATCTTATGCTTTCAAAGCTAGCGAAACCCTAGTCTAAAATATGCACGTGAAGTTGTGCACTAATATGCTAGCATGGAAAAAATGAGCATCGGTAATATTGAGACCCTTCCCAATTAGAGTAGCAGATTTCACAACGCTTCACCACACGCCTCTAAGCACAGACTCTAATGACAGAACAAACGGAAGAATACGAACCGAACAGATGCGCCCTCATGTTCAGTTATTATTTATATATATGATTATTATTTCTGGGCTTTAAAAGACCTTGCTTGACTGACTTTAAACGATAAATGTGTTTTTGACTCTTTGGATAAAATAATCTGTTAATTGACTAAATGTAAATGCATGTGCAAATAACCGTAAGTTAGGCAGGAAAATTGGACGTTTCCCAGTTTCTCTCACTTGTGTCTCAGAAGTCTTTATCTTTAGACATCAAAACGTACTGCTGCTGATAACAGAAGCAGAATGTGAACAAAAATAGCAACCCAATATCTACCTCTTCACCAAAACTTGCTGTGCTATCAGTGTGTGTGTGTGCTTTTACCTGCACAATCCCTGCAATCCACAGCGTGTGGGAAGGTTCATCACATGGGGAAAAAATACCAGTACAGGTTTGGCAAAATTTTTAAGAGAGTGTGGGTGTGCGGAGCACAATACAGCGTTCAGGTACACAACACTATCTCTCAACGCCGTCTTTAACGTTCAAAGAATGCTTTCAGAATTCAAACGCCGTCAGCAAACAACAACAACAACAACAAAGCAACAGTATCAAACAGATCTGTTGGCGCATGCAAACTGTTCAAGTGTGTAAACAGAGCTGATTTTGCAATTATGGAAAAAATCAGCAGTTCTTTGTGGATCTGAGCCAAAGATTCCACGCAAGCATCATGATGATGCAGCAGCACCGTACTGCAGGAGAAAATTACTGAAGAGCAACCGCTTTTCTAGCTGCATTTGCATATACTTTTCATGCGAGGCAGCTATACCGATTACTGAAACAGAGCTGAGCATTTAAATATCAGACAAATCTGTCATGTACCAGGTCATTTAAACCTGAATTTGAAATGTGCAGACCTCTACTAACTACTCTAACATTGACTGAAGACAAAGCACATTCCTGCATTATTGATGAAAACCACACTGGCATTTTCATGCTTAAAGCATGCACTCTTTAAATCAGATCTCTGGCTGATGCATGTAAACATATGCATACCCACATCTACGTTTGAACAAGGTGTCCCATTGATAACTTGCACTGACCTTGTTTTCGGTTGTCATATAAACAGATATTCTTCGATTATGTAACAGTGTGTTGCATAACAGGCTGGGATGACCAATCAGGTGTGACAAAGCAATGCATCCAGGTTCTGCACTGATTCTGCAGGAGGAACGAAACCACTGTACTGGCACGGAACTGAAATAAGTGTGTACTAATGGAGAACTTGATGGCAAAAAGGGCTGATGACTATGACATGAGCATCTCGATAGTCCATACAATTACATACTAGATGTAGTATTGAAGAAAAAGTGAATCTATTGACATTTCTCTCAATTTGTCCGCCATCTTGGATTGATTTTTCCACTGAATTCGGTGCAATGTATTGTGAGATTAAAGGATACATGGGCAGCTGCCTAGAAATTGACTGAAACAAGGTATCCGAGGGATGCGTACCTTCTAGAACAGTCTGGAACGGACATGTGATGCCTCCTCCAGTTATGGCTCTGGTTTATGAAAGCTGCTGGTTCATGGTTTGCAACATCCATTTGAATGACACCAAACGTTCCCCTCACACTAGATCTATTTGGGCTGCTGAGAGCAAACATCAGTCATATTAAGGGCTGGAAGGGCTGAGGCTGGGTCTGGCAGCATATTCAGGCACTCTCTGCTGACTCAAACAGAAAAACAGCTCCTTCGAAACTATAAGCAGAAAGCAGAGTGAACATAAGGCCATCAAGTTCGTATGATGTGCTTCAGTGCATGCATGCAGACTCTGTAAGCAGACCGAGCTCACGCCGTCGTTGATCAGTCGCCCTCTTCAGGCGGTGTGAGGAATTGCTCATGACTTCACAACCCCTAATGCACAGAGCAACATTTTTGCTGAGTGTGTTTAAATATATTAGAACCTCTTCTTTGACATATCCGATTCATCCCAAAATAAAACAGATTCACTTTAAAAATTTAGCTGATCTATCCTTGTAGTGTTAAATGTAATTTTCAAAAGTGCACTCTACATATATTATGTAACTCAGAATACAGAGCTCTTTTTTTTCCTGCTTGCAAATTATCTTGTGCCTTTTAGTGCAGAGTGAAGATATGGCTATCTGAGAAAAAGACTGCTGTTCTGAACTTGTCTTTTATAGATATTAAATACGGGAACTATGAAGAAGGCCTTATGTGTTTTAAGTAATAATAATAATTAGTATTATTATTTATTTGGGGGTTAAGCAGTTTATTTTATTTTTTTTATTGCATTTATTGATTGATTGAGTGGTTGTATTTATTTATTTATTTTAGTGGGTGGGTAAGCATTTTATCCAACATTTATTTCCCACCTTATTTGCAGTTTTTAAGAATTATTTTATTATTTAAAAGCCCTGTCAAAAATTAAGATTAATAATATATATATATATATTTTTTTTTTTTTTGCATTTAGGAGATGATTATTTATTCTCAAGCATGTACAGATAATGTGTTCTGTTGTTGTATTTATTTTTTCACTTTCTTTGACTTCTCACTTTTAATATTATTTTGTTTCTAAGCCTTTGTTTTGTAATCTGATTGTTTTGTAAATCTGAATACCATTTTCTTGTAGTATCGTTTAGTTTTCTTAATAAAACCCCCAAAAAGTATAGATTAGCAGACTTAATGGAGTTCATTTTTGTTTCAATTTGGTCTCAGAAGGTTCTCAGTAAAATGCCTTATTTTTAATTCAAATAAAGGCAATTAGAGTACTCTCATACAGTACGAGTGCAGAGCTGTATTCATATGGATTTTGATGTGAAATCATATTTTGATCTGACTTTTTGTATCTTGACAAATCCGAGCACAATTTGAGACATCTCGTCTGAAACTCCAGAGGAGAAACATCTGAGAAGCAGGAGACAGTCTTCATTTGTTCAGTTGAGATCTTATGAGTATTGCTTATAAATCGTCAACTAAAAACAAGATGCATATTTTCATTTTATTAAATACTTAAGAAGTTCACAAAATATCCAGTGGTGATATGTTTAAAAAAAAGAAAGAAGAAAAAAGAAAAAAAAAGTTCCCGAAAGGAAACAAAACAATAAGCAGAATAGATTCATCAATTATAAATATTTGAGGTCAGACTAAAATTTGTGAATCACATAGAAATGCAGAGACTACTGACAGCTCTGCGGCGTGAGAGCTGGAAATGTCAGTTCAGTCCAAGTCAGTCCGAAGATGAAGATATTGTCTGTAGTGCCATATTTACATGCGTTTATGTATGTTTGTATTAATATGTGTTCATGTTGGGTGTCAGGAATGAGCATGAAGATATAAAATAGCTCCCTGGTCTGCCAGTCTCTTAAGCACGAGAGCCTCTTGATTGAGATCATGGTAGGAATTCTGAAACAACAACGACATTCGGTGAAGCAGTGCAATGCTACATATATACGGCAACATATATGAGAATCAAAGCACAAACCACAGCTCAGTTTTTCCATTGCAAATGGATGCTTTAAAACCAACCTTCATGGATCTCATCGTATCCTTTCCATAATAGTGGATGGGCTGTTTCTGGTTCCTGAACTCTGGGTATCCGAATCCAGCCACGTGCACAACGTCACAGTAGTTTAGAGCCACAAATACAGCCAGAATGCCAGTGGTGGGATGCACTGATTTCTGATGGAGAAACAAGAGAAGTGTGTTTGATAGTGTTTGTCCTCCTGCAGGGGGCGGCTGAAGACTCTTTAACTCTCCTATGAATGATTAAAGACCCCATGAAATCTTAGCTTTTACTTTCATTTTATTGCTTTTGTGTAGTTCAAATACGTCTAATCAAATGCTCTCCCATAGTCCCACTTGTAGAGGTCTCAGAAGAAGCCTGGGATGTAACATATCCTATAGGCTTTTTTGTTTTAAGAAGAAGAAGAAGCAGCACTTTCATGTCTTGCACAATCTTTAATAGGAAATGTGTCAACATCGAGTAGGACATAAAACTGTACTTGTAAAAAAAAAAATGTATGAGGTTTTAGACTTCCTTAAAAATGTTTAACACATACCTTGCCATCAAAACAATGCAATAAACTATTTAAAACGCATTCTCAGTAAATTATTGCCAACTTTTGAAACTTTCCCCTTATAGTAGTAAAATAAAGTAATGCATCTTGGCTCTCTCTCTGTCTCTCTCTCTCTCTCTCTCTCGTTCCAAGTAATTAGCTTTTCCGCAGCTACTGATCTGTGCGCTCCCACACAAAACACGCTCATACATCTCCTCAAAGACATCGCACATCTCAGCTTCTGCTTCAAAACTCTCTCACCATGTTCATCCGCAGAACAAGAGTTCATCACCTCTCCGTTCCAAATGTGGCTGTAAACATTGTGCAACACCACTGGCCCTGTGGTCACTTTCTAGTTGTCAACCATTAGTAGATCTTGTTCACAGTAATGTCATAAACCTATTTGTGAACTTGAGCACTGATTTCAAAATGTCTCAGAAATGTTCATTAGAAATAGAATCAAATTAGAATCAGGACTAGCATCACTTAGTTCTTTTGTTTAAATATTACTATTTAGTATTTAAGTGGAGCTTAAAGGGATAGCTCAGCCAACAATTTAAATTCTGTCATTAATTCCTCACCCTCATGTCGTTCTAAACCCGTAAGACCTTCGTTCATCTTCGGAACATGAATTAAGATATTTTTGATGAATTCTGAGGGCTCTCAGACCCTCCCATAGACAGCAAGGGTACTACCACGATCAACGTCCAGAAA